ATATATATATATATATATATATATATATATATATATATATATATATATATATGTAATATACATACACACTCACATAGATATTCATTCATGTAGCAGACGGCCTATTGCTCTTGTTGAGTCATGCTCGTTGAGGGCGGTTATGCCTCAGCTTTTTCAGTAGGGCCGTTTAGTTGGTGTGCTGTGGTTCTTTAGTAGTATTGCGCCCTGTTCCCTGTAGCCTATGCTGTTTGCTATGGGCGGTGCATTTCTTCCTCTTATCATTGATAAACTATGCCTATCATGTTGGCCTTTTTCGTACTTCCACCAATAAATATCATTTGTTTTGAGAATTTATTTCACCGTCAATAAATTTGTCATCAACATAAGTGGCCCTTTCTTTCTTGCCAATTAACTTTTCAATTTCAATGCAAATATATGTTGAACAAAAATAAATTGTGGTTGAAGATGAAATTGGCTTAACTTTCAATCTCACTTCATTGTTATCCTTTTCTAATCAAAATTAAACATCAAAGTCTTTGAAATGCTATTTATCGGTCAACATTTACTGTCAGTCCTTTTCCTCTTCTTTTCTTCTTCTTTTTTTTTTTTCTACTTTTTGATTGATTAGAAGCTATCTCAAAAGGGAATTCCACACGAATATTTTGCATGAGCTTAGCATTTAATCTTCGATCACAACCATACATCTATTCAATTTTTGGGAAGTTTTGAAGTAGTTTTACGTATGTTTCCTAGTTAATCCTAAATTACTCCCTGAGGGAATAAGACAAGAATGATGCATTTTTTGATCCATTGCCGCCGGTTTCTCGTTATCTGAAATGATATGTTGATATCACATGTAAGCAAGTTGATGCTAATTTACCTCATCCTGCTATTTCTTCAATTCCACCCAATAAATTGAGTCCATGTTTATTCACATCGTTAGAGGGAATGCTTCATAACTCATCCTAATTATCTTCATTTATCATTCAATTTAATTTTTATTTTGTATCTTTTGAATGTGACACATATCTATGTGCACGTATGTCCATGCATGTTAAGTTTCGCTATACCATACGATTTACGTTCGCTTTTTGAATATATGAATTACTTCTTGGAAGTCAATGAGATGGTAACAACCGGTGCTAGTATATGTTTTTTGTATAATTCATCTAGATTTACTATGGACTTATTTGACATTGACCGTTTTTCGATGATATTCATTGGGGCATTACAGGATAGTGCGAGGATTTTTATTATTTGATAAAAGTGAAATAGTGACACTATCTGTGTAATACCGCGTTACACTACCATATTAAATATTTGTTCTTATCCATTAAGCAATGTAGCATTCTTATTTTACAATAATTATCTTTAGTCATACGAAATTTTCATGGGTACCTTTTTATGAATAATGAAAATCTGCTACTAGTAGCTGATCCGGCAACGAACAATCCTCAACTGGAATGGTTTCTCCGATTTGGTTCTTTGAAAACCGGCTGCTGTATACCACCCCATCATTCCTTTCGATCGATTATATAAGCATTGATGGACGAGCACATGTTGCGGTATTGGAGAATTGAAACAGAACAAAATAGAAAACTGAACGTGATAAGTAGCAAAGAGAGGAAGTGGAAGAGCATGAGAAGGTAGGTCGGATGAAGGGCAAACGCGAATGAATACAAGAAACGAAATTTGACAGAGATGAACAAATGTTTGGAAATGTTCGAGTTTTGTTGTTGGTTGAAGAGTGACAATGATGTTTTTCCCTGTGCATCATCTTATCCATCATTATAGTGCATCTCTTTTGACATTACTTCTTTTATCACAAAGGAAGTAATTGCTTGATTGATCACATCATTGATTGATATGCTTACTTTCATCGAACTTCTATTTTCCTTTAGCTGTTATGCTAAAGTAGAAATCTCATCGTATTTTGAATAAATTTTTGTTTGATAAGGTGGTCATCTTGAAGCCTTTTAGGTATATTGTCATTGAAGTTTGTGTCAAATTTACTTTGAAAAGTTGAAAATTAGCTGCGAAGTTATACATCTGATTTTAACTTATCTAATTTAGCATACGTCACAGTTAATTGGTAGGATTTGTCAAGACTATACAAGCATTGCAAACAGTGCTTCACCATTTCGTACTCATGAAAATATCCCACCCGGAATTAATTAACACGGTATGCAGGATGTAATCCAATACAGAAATCACTAGCCATTGAGAACATGTCAAGTCAAGGTAGTTGAAAATGTTCAACTCATTCAGATAGGCAAGCAATACCGTAGCATTTGCATTTCTTTGATGTTCCAGCTGCATCGAAAATAACCATTTTTGCCTCTGTCATCTGTGCTATATCTGTCAATATGTAATTGTAATTGTTCACTTGTTTACTCATATTGTCGTTTTCATGACATCACGCGACATCATTTTGCCACCTTTCCTGTGAAAATGTCACTGAAAGAGTCAATTGTTGCTGTAGAGTCATCCGAAAATTGGATGCTTCTGATCTGTTCGAAAACTGGCCGAATTCTTTCTGCTCTACAATTTTAAATCATAAAAAATGGCGGCCTTCAAATATGCCTATGTTGAGCTAATCGTGGTTGTGTCTAATGTTATTGTGAATATTCATTGTAAAGCGAGCTTTGTTGTATATGATTTATCTAACAGTGGAATGATTCAGGGGGAGGAAGAAGGGAAAGAGAACGATTCTTGAAAATTTAGGAGAAAAGAGCGACTAAAAAAGTTCAAGGTAATTTAGCAGCTAAAAGATGCATTTACAGGAAAAAGTCCAAGCAGCTAGCCTCATTTCCGCTGCTTAATCTAATGTAAAACATGGCTACCATTCCAGATGGATCACTTATTCAGAAATTATCTCCAGCTACTGCCGTAGATTTGCAGGGTGGAACTTTGTTGGATGTAAAAGAGGTTTTTTTTCTATTTTTTTTTCTGTATTGTGTGTATAGTGGACAAAGTGCCCACTGAATTCTAAGAGATGGATGACATGTTTGGGCGGCTTCTGACAATGTCAGATTGTTTGTAGTTCGACGAAGTTGATGAAACGGATGGCTGCAAGGTACACGTCACCGAGTACCACATTCTTTCCGCAGATGGTCAGGAAGAGATGACGAAAACTTATCGAAGAAAGTTAAAAATTGAATGCAATCAAAGTACCAGGAAAACTGAAATTGCTAATGGTAAGTGCAAATGGACTAACTGCATGTTTTGTATCAGTTTTGTATTTAAGTTAGTAATTAGCGTTAGTTTTGATCAGTGTTTACAATAAACTTGGTGGAACGGTCGCATTTTTCAATGCTCTGAATTTTGAGCATTGTGTTTTTAGGTCGGGAAGCTTTGATCGAAGAAAAAACAGAACGATTATTTGGTGATATCGATGGTTTCCGGCAGCCAATAGTCCTCGTTGATAGATCTAAGGCTCTTATGGATTTTTCTAATCCTGAGGTGTTCCCGTAGTTAGCAAAGAAAAAAAAGTCTAAATTCATAATTCTTTAAAAGGCTGTAGTTGGAAAAGCAAGCCAAGTAAAAGTTGGCTTTTCAGGATTCAACAATTAGTGCCGTATTGCAAAAGACACAGGAAAAATTTCTTAATATGTTAAATGAACAGAAAGATCAGCTTATAAATATGTTTCCTGAACTGTTTTCTGAGATGAGAACAAGTTCATCGCTTTCGGATACTCCACAAACTGAGGTTGAAACGGTTGTTAATCCAGATGGTAGTACTACAACACGAATGCGCTCTTCCAGAGCCTACAGGTTAATTTAATTGAACATTGCTCATGGGTTAATCTTTGAAATGGTTGTTGTGCAATGTTTTTGAGCAAATAGTTATGAAGAAACAGTTTTTCATGTAACAGGTATATAAACCATGGGCCTGCAGTTTTCCTGAGGGAATTCTCCATCAAATGTTTATGGATAACTTTATTTCTTCCGAATTTTTTGATTTCATTTAAAAATTTTAAACGTAGTTAAACTAGAACTGGAAAGAACATATCTTTGAGACAAAAATGAGCTTGTTTTTGAAAGTTTGAGTAAGAATGCAAACACTTCGCTTCTCGAATATTCTGTCTAATATAATGCATCAAGCAGAATATTGAAACCAGTACTCATTTTGCTACGATTGTCTGACTTCATTTATGATAAAATTCATCACTTGCAGTACGCGTTTTTCAAAGCATGAAATGTACATAAATGGCGTGAAACAGGAATCGAAGAGTAAATTCAGAGCTTTCATGGAATATAAGGGTATATTTCACTTATGCATAATGTAAAAATTTAATTTCAGTTGGATCTTTAAACGTCTGCAAGATTTCTTGTTGTAAAAATGATTTCATATAATGCTTAATTCCTCCTTACAATTAGCAATTTCCATTTTCTTCCAGGTCCAGACGGCGGTTTCAAAGTGAAATTGCGTGATACCTCTGGGGCTGATGACCTTTCGGAAGAAGAAGCAGATGATGTGAGCGATGATATTGTTGTGGACGCACAATCACAAATCTCAGAAATCCCAGACACACAGTCTGTGATGATCTCAGGAGGAAGTTTGAATCGGATACCAGCAATGAAGGAAAGAATCAGAAAACGTACCGAAAAGGCCTGGCTTGCTGCCAAAGAATTAGTTGATTCGGAACAGCGATATGTTGACAAGCTTCGCCTGCTTGATGAAGTATAACTTAAGTATTGCTAACATGTTCAATTTTATCTATTCACTTAACTGTGGGTAGATATGTCGCTATCAAAGTAATAATACTTCTAAAAACAATTCTTGCACCACTTTTTAACCTTTATTGTAGACATTCCGGAAAAAAATTGACGAGGAGAAAGTCTTGGAACGGGATAGAATAACACAGCTATTTGCAAATATATCCAGTTTGCATCAGTTTCACAATACTCACTTGTTGCCTGCATTGATGGAAAGTTCACGAGATTGGCATACTACACATAGGTATAGAACAGCTCGTTTATTATGACTGCTTCATTTATTTGAAAAAAAAAAAAAAATA